ATATTACAAACGCCTTTAACAAACTTGACCTATCTTCCATATGCTATCACTGTAGTTTTCTTTTCCTCTAAAAAGGAAAAAAAATTAATTTCTTTTTTGTTTTTTCTGATTGTTGCCTAATTTAATGTTTGTTATGGTTTCTTGACAGGCCGAACTGTAAACTACCTAAGATATTTCTGTTCATTATATGCGTAGCTTATTAAAGCTAGGATAACTGAAAGAGCAAAGACAGATATTTTGAAAGATCGTGAAACTAATGTTGTTGAGGCATCATGTATTTATACTTTGATAAACCATGTTGTTTAATCTATCTTTGATATTAATACTTGCAACTAGGCGTCATGCATATATACCTTGATAGACCATGTTATTTAATCCATCTGTGATATTAATTCTTGCAACTCTTTTACTGAGTGTAAATGAATAATGATAAAACAAATTATTGCTGTTTATCTTGTACCCATTTCCTTGAGATGAATTTCTTGTAACAGCCACTCCATAATGCATGATGACTCTCTCCAGCTGGCTTGCTGATGTTTGGTCTTTGTCTTAGAAGAATAATGGTGGCTTCCACTTGTTGCCTTTTGAGGATTGTGCTTTCATTTAAATCTTGTAAATAAATCTTCAGGAATTGTTTTAATCCACTGATGGTTGAAGTTTCCTATTATTTTCTTAGCATATGTTTTTAGCATTTGACTGATTTTAGCTGTCAACAATCAAAGGCATCTCATATGGCATATTCTTATGCAATAAAAACTGTGTGGCTGGCTCTTCTGGATTTTGCGCTCTATGCATTGCAGTTTGACTATTACTTATGTTATTTATAAAATTTTTACCATTGTAGTCATACAAGCAGTGGATTTTGAGGACAATTGAGCAGAGTTGGAATCTCTTCCACAAAAAATTCATTGCACTTTGGGATGAACACAAAGATGGTGCTGGAGAAGCATATCTTCCAGCAATCTACAACAATGCAGAGGTTTGGAAGCTTATGCAAGAAAAGTTTATGGAGGATTTGTTCCACGACACCCTTGGATTTGGTGCTGCCAAAATGATCAGGTGAGAAGAGCTTACTGAGTCATCAACTATACTTCAGCATTCTTGATCATTATTCTTCCTTCATTTTCTTTTTTTTTCCTTTTAAAAAAATTCAAAGCAAGATGGTATTTTACCTTGTTTTTGTGTCATCCTATGATTAACAAATCCCAAGCTAAAAACATTTCAAAAAATACGCTTAATAGCTCATTCAACCAGAAGTCTACATCTTTCATCAAATGTACCCTTGTTTTTTGTGTCATGCTCTGATGTCACTTCCAAGCTAAAGAAAAAATTATAATGCCACATAGTTTATGAACCACAAGTACATAGCTTTCATCATAATTCTTTTCTTTCTGCCACACATGATTTGACACATTGGCATGTTAATCTTTTCTGTACTGGTTTCTATGTTTCAAGAAAAAAAAATAAGTTTGTGCTGGTAAATCCATATCCTAATCTTCTGACCATTTATTTATGCCATATCAGATGTTAGATGTTGGGATTTGGGAGTGAGTAAAAAATGGCCAAAAAGTTAGGCATCTTTACGTAGATGTTCCTTGTGAATGATGTTGGTATTATTTCTGTGTTTTGCTTACACGATTTGTTTACTATTTGTCAGCTATAACTACTGTTTTCTTTAAATCATAGAATGACCTTACTGTAAAAGTTGTACGACCTTTAGTGGAATTGATAAGTTATGTTTGTTTGAGTTGCAGAGGCTCATTAGGTTAGCAATATATATATATATAGCTATTAGCCACTAGTATAAGCACAAAGAAAATAATCAAGTGAAGAACTTCAAACTTGAGATAGCCCCACGAAGATAACCACTCTCCAGATGGTCTTTTATATTTCGCTCATGCTTGATCTCTTTTTTTTTTACCTAAGAAAGACTACATAAATAGAAAAGCTGGACTTTCCTGCAAAATTGTTAAATGATGTTTTATATTTTGATTGATAGGAGAATAGTAGGTGTAGTCCTTGTTGGAGATTTTGAATCAATAAAAGATGCTAGCAAACGAGCAGATTGTGAGCGAGAGGCTCATTAGGTTAGCAATATATATATATATATATATAGCTATTAGCCACTAGTATAAGCACAAAGAAAATAATCAAGTGAAGAACTTCAAACTTGAGATAGCCCCACGCAGATAACCCCTCTCCAGATGGTCTTTTATATTTCGCTCATGCTTGATCCTTTTTTTTTTTTTTACCTAAGAAAGACTACATAAATAGAAAAGCTGGACTTTCCTTCAAAATTGTTAAATGATGTTTTATATTTTGATTGATAGGAGAATAGTAGGTGTAGCCCATGTTGAAGATTTTGAATCAATAAAAGATGCTAGCAAACGAGCAGATTGTGAGCGAGAGGCTCTTGAAATTGCAAAGACACTTCTCAAGCAAAGGCGAAAATTCAGTTCCATCAATGAGGTCATTTTGGTGATTCAGCAACTTCAGAAATGATAAATTCCTATTTAAAGTAAGATTCTCTTGCCTGTGATTTTGAGGTGTTTGAATAAGCGTATGCAGAATCTAATTTGCTATTGCTATTGCTATCACGATGTTAATGGTAAAGTGTTCCATGCTTTAGGGCCTTGAATATATTGCACTGAGCAAATACACAATCTTTATGAGCATGGAAGTGTTGTCTTCCCCACAATTTTTTCTTACGGGCATCCTCTGTGTCGTTGCTACTAGCAAACGCTTTACGAGAATACTTTTTTATGAGCTGCTACTAGCAAAATTATGCTTAAGTTCATGTTGTATTACTGTGCAACTTTATTTCTCATAGCTTGCCTAGTACTCAATGTCAGAGCTGGAATTAACTTCTCTTACCAAACAGCTGAAGAAATTAAAAAAAAAAAAAGCAACCATCAAGAGGGTTTAGCCTTGTACTCAAAAGTGTTTTTCCAAAGTTCAACTTTATTATAATGTGTGCTTAGTTATTGATTATATATTTAACTTTTAATCGAATCAATTCTACTTATTTAGTTCCACAATGATCTCGTATTCTTATTTATCAAGGTTAAGTGTCACAGAATATGTAATTTGAATTTAAAGCGGTACTTATTTAGAAATAGAAATCCTACTTATAATCATTATGATCTCCACTTCTGGTTAATAGAATTAAATTATTTTATTGAACCAAGCAGAAATTTATTTTCTTTTGGTTCAGCTTTCAGCTATGGCTTATTTAGTTAGACTCCATATTAATGACTAAATTTAGCCTTGTAGTCACTCCAAAGCTGGCCAACAGTCTTCCCTAACAGGTCAACAAAAAAGCTCTCACTATAGCCAGTTCTCGTCTTCTTGTTAAGCTCCGCCACAAACCCATTTCTCAGACTGTTGCAGTAATCCAGAAACCTAGCTGTGACATCGTACCCTTGGTCCCATCTGTTACCCTCCCCTGGCTTCACCCAGTGGCTCGGCGCATAATTAGCCTTCAGCCTTACGAAATCCGCAATCCCTTCTATCAATCCTCCTGGAGTCTTCCCATTCCCGTTCCACTGCCATATATGTGTCATCTCGTGATAGATTACTCCTGTGAACTCCCTTCTGAAATCACCTGTGTTACAATGTCATAAAATTTTCTTTAAAGTTTAACTTCTCTGGAAAACTATTAAGTTGTAATAAATCATGTTGAAAATTTATCAAAATGCTATTTAGAGAAGAAAAAAAAAAAAAAAACCTGAGTAGTTTCCTAAGTAGTTGGCATTGACATGAATCTCGTTATTGACTGCAAAAGCAACACCATCAATGTTCTCGATGATCAGAGTCACTTTCCGCACACTCTTCCTCTCTCTCTCACTGCTCTGCTGGAAAATTCTCCAGATGAAGTCTGTTGCCGACACCAGTGTTTGCCTGCTGTAGTCCTCGCCAATGTCATTGGCAAAGCGAACGCCTCCACGAGATGTGCCGGCTTGGTTGATTACCGTGAACTCAACCGCACGTGCTGCTTGCACTGCGGTGACTAGCAGCAGCAGCAGCAGCAGATAGTAAAAGGTGTTGTGAGCCATTGGTTTATGCAGAGGAGGTTTTTGTTTTGGTTTTTATGTTGTCTTTAAACAAGAAGGTGAACGTGGCTTTTATAGGGATTTAAGGTATATGACGTTGTAGTGTTCAGGAGTTTTGGTCTTTGATTTTATTGTCACATACAATTAATTTATAGTACTGAAAGTTAGGTTTAATAGCAACAACCACCATATATATATATATATATATTTATATATATATTATATGCAGTGGAGATTAGTCTTGCTTTCCTGCAATTGACTTGTCTTGAAGGGTCTCGTACTCCTCCTCATGGAAATTCTAAGAAAGGATTTTAAATAGATATTTATTGGGGGGAGGGGGAAACCAATACATACATATATGTATATAATACACAAGGCCAAACAAACCTGTGGCCAAGTCTTGGTCAAGGTCAACCATGAGATATGCACAAATACACAGAGACAAATTAACCATGAAATGAAAAAAAACAAAAACAAAATTGCAGCTTATGGTTTACTGGTTTTACCCTTTCAACCAATGCAGTTTTTTATTCTCCTTTCTGAATTAATGGAGTGAAAAAAAAAATTAGGACTTTAAATTCAGGAAATCCAACCAAACAGAACGCTTCATTCATAATTTAGTAGGACCTGCTCTTTGTTTTATATTACTATTTCTTAACATAATATATAATATATATACATATACATGTGTATATATAGATTAAAGTATTGTTTTTTTTAAAACAAAAAATTTTTAAGTCTGTTACAAGAAGTGTACAACTCAAAATGTTTCCTACTCAGTCTCTCTTCTAAATAGTTTTATTAATCAACTTTTGACATCATATTAATTGTTTGATTATCTAAAAACAATTAAGAATTAAAATAATAATAATAATAATAATTTACCATATTATTATAATAAAAAAATTCTTTTATTCAATAATATCACAATTTCAAGGTGGAATTATGATATTGTTCGATTCATAAAAATTATCGGGTTTTAATTATTTTATTTTATTCCGTATCACCACGAAACAAGAAGTAGATAATGGAATAGAAGATTTAAAATTTGATGTACGAAACTCAAACCATGATTTTCTACATTCACTTTTCTTGCTAGCAATATACAATTTATGGCGATCTTCAATTCCGAATGTAAAACAACTACACCGTTGATTTCTTCTTCTTTTTAATTAAAAAAAAATACTATATGAAATTTTTAATTCGTTATAACTACTCTAGTTAAAAAATTTAACTGTCAGATAATTTTTTAGTAAAAAAAAATTTTAGTATATTTGTCGAGACTTACTCAACTTAATTACTGCAGTCTTATTGACCATTCAGATTATCTTAAATTTTATTTTCGTTAATAATAAAAATTATAAACTATTTTTTACAATGCGATATTTTAGAATGAGTTTTATCATTTTACAGTGCCACAAGATAAATTCATATTAAAATATTAAATATTTTTAAATTAATTATTTTTCAAGTTTGATTGAATTTTTAATCTAATTTTAATTTTTTAATTGCGAACACAATATAAATAGAATCTAATTTTGAATAGAATAATATTTTTATTTTATTTTATTTCTATCAAAATTAAGTTTTTTTTATTATTTCCTCATCGGCACATGAAAATATAATTCTACAATTAAAAAAAATTAAATACACAAATAAACTTCAATGATACATTAAATACATAAGTTAAATGCTTATTTATAAATGGATTAAAATTTAAATAAAACTAAAAATATATATTTTAAATTATAGTAAAAAAATTATGGGTATTATTAATTTTCATTATTTTATAATTGAATTTATTAAATATTATTTTTTAAAATAAATTAATTTATCAATTTATTAATTTATTCAAAGAGAGTATAAAATTCTAAAAAGATAAGTAAAACCCATTATATTTGGGCTATCTATCACTACACCGGGGCCTGGGTGTAAATTCTTTCTATCTACAAATACTTCAGGCCGCAGTTTTTGGGCTCAGAAACTGGCAAAATTAAATATCATAAACTCGATATATTAAAATTAATAATAAATTATTTATTTTTTAATAACAAAATAATATATGTGTTAAATAAAAATAAAAATTTAAAATTTTTTTAATATAAGCGAAATTTAACTGTATCCATCTTAGATAAAGATGGTCGAGATTAGGGTAATAGTCAGGAACTCTGGTATAACTCATCTTATACCGCGGAATTACTAGGCTGCCGGAGTGCTCTGTCGTACATAATTGAAAAAAGTTCAGGGATCGGGGAACGGTAATTACAGACTCCCGACCAGTTTACAAGGCGACAGCTTCTACTGAAAAACGATTATTCAACGTTCGGTTACATCACGGATGGTTGTAGAACTTCGATTAGAACGAGACGAAATGTTTCTGTTCAGTGGGTTAGACGTCTGATCGCTCTGAATCTCCTGTCTTCGTCCTCACTGTTATGTACGAGAGTCTATTCATGACCGATGTTCTTATCTTATTTCACAAGTGAAAGGATAAGTATTTGAAAATAAGTTATTTATTAAAAAATATTTATATATTAATTGTTAATTTAACGAAAATATTTTAAAATTTTTTAAGAAATTCAATTATAGTGTTAATTGTGGGGGGAAATTAAAAAATAAAAAAATTCACAAAAATAAATATTTAATGAGAAATAAAATTCTTGATTGATTTATGTTTAATAGGATGATAAGCTTGATTAGACAAAATTAAGAATTACGTAATTAGATACACTGAAACGACAGTCTTTCATATGAATACTCTATTTGAATTCTCCAAAATTATTTGGACGGATAGTGACGGTCCTTGTATGTATGTATATATATATATATATATATATATATATGTATGTATATGCTGAAGTATATGACAACTAAGATACCGACTTACACTTATCACTAACTTTAAGCATTAATTGATGAATTTCTTACATGACCGTGTGAGTATTACATACATATACATACATATACATATATATATATATAGATAGATGTATATACATATAGGCATAAAATTAGTGGCTCAAGTTTTGGGCCGCCTGGGAATACGACGTTTAATTTGTAGTTTCAAGTTGAAATTGTCATCGTATAGAATTTGCGTGAAGAAAAGCAACAACATACATATACATATATATATATATATATACATACATGTATATAGTTAGCAACATAAGCATCGGTCTCAAGTTTTGACTCGCATGATGCGTGACTTAATTTAATTAACTTAATAAGAAAACTAAAGTAGGTCTCATCATATATATATATATATATATATATGTATATGTATGTATGCATGTGGTATTGACATGGTTAGCTAGGCAGGTAATTTAGTTTGACTATGTACATTGTCCGAAACCTAATTAGTCTGAAAGGTGATGATGGTTTATGACATCATAATTATAGATATTATTACACATTATATATACAAAACACAGTTATTGTATATATCTCTAAACTACTTCTCATTCCACACCATCTTGCTAAAAGAATTCATCTCCTGCAAGCATATACGCACATATATATATATATATATATGATTATACAAAAAATAATTAAATGTTATATACATTGCTGAGAACTAATAAATTTTGGGTAAGTATTATGTCAGAAATGAGAAGAGAAACATGCATGCTTATACAAGCATGCCTTAAAATCCATGATATGTATTATCGTATCAGCAAACATGATAATGAAAATCTATAGATATATAGATCAATGCATATATATTATACATACTGTACATATATACATATATGTGCGTGTATATAAACACATATATGTGTATGTAGAGTATTTCTGCCACAAATGTTAAAGAAAATTAAGTTGAATTGTTGTTTAACTGATAAATATTTCAAGAACCAATTTACATCAACAGTGTTCGTATAAAAAAAGAAGAAAACAAAGGTAGAAACTCTTGAGAAAAACAATGACCTATCCATTAAAGAACTGTAAGAACTTGAACATGAATGATCAATCTCCTAAAACCAGATCGAAACCCAGTCGGAGAACCATCATGACTAGTAGTAGATCTCATCAGATCTCGCCTTCCCTCATCAATAGTTCTCGGAGAAAGAATCTAGTCAATTTAAAACCAAATGAAAAGAAAAAAAAAAAAAAGGAAGAAGAAGAAGAAGAAGAATGTACTGCCGACGGCATCGTACACGCACGAAAACCTCCTCCGTATACATATATGTGTGTATGCATCTGTACGTATCAGTGACCACGACCGCGATGGCTTGGTCCAGAATAAGCTTTAGTGATCACGAAACCCTTTCCCGCAGATGATGAGTGGTGGTGATCGTGATCTCCGAGAGGCCTCGAGGCTTCGACATGCAGGCAGTAGGAAAGCAAGAGGAAGAAGATGATGACAGAAACGGCGTTCAAAGCCATCAACACAGAAGACTGAGTCGACTTCATTTTCTTTTCTTTTTCTTCTTCTCTTTCACCGGGTTGTTGATATAACTTTGATGGGTGTGTGTGTGTGAGAATTTATGAGAGATTGGCCCCGTTTCAATCTCAAATATTTCTCGGCGAATAAGAAATGGGTTTTGCCTTTTGGAATTAATGGAGGTCGAATTGAATTCTGCTCCTACGTATATGTATATATAAGTGTTGGTTAATGGAGAGACAAGGAAGTAATGAGGTAGTAGATACACAATGAAAGGGATGATTATATGGGTTTGGTGTTTTCACTATCTACGCCGAGTGAGCTAAAGAGAGGTTTGAAATTTGAGGTGGGTCTGAGTTGAAAATGTAAAAGGCGATGGTTTGACTAAAGAAATATTTATAGTTTATCAGATTGATATTGTCAATCGGTAGGCGCCTAGGAAAAGAGAATATGTGTTATTTGGTAGGTATGTACTTATTATATATATATATATATATATATATATTTTATTTCGTTGAACTAGCAAGATCTACCTTTTCATTCTTTACTTTTGTCTTTTTTTAATATAATATGCGATATAATCTATGCCATGCTTATTATATAGAGATGGTAATCATTTTTATGACCTTTCTCACACTTTGACAGAATATACGAGTTCCCTCTATTCAAATCATCGTAACCCTCGAAATCGTGTTTCCAACCGAACCCAGATAAATTATATGATTATATTTAATTAAACAATTTTATTAGAACATAACTTCATAGCATATATATTATGTATATAATGTGTGTATATATATATATGTGTGTGTGTGTGTGTGTACTTGACAAATTAAGCATCTTTAGGTCTTGAAACGTAAGGCCCGAAGGGTTGGGCGTGAGTGGCAGCACCAATACGCCTCGCTGATTTCTCTTGACCCGGCAAGCTAAAGCTTTTTGAATTTGATTTAAGTCTAATTTTAGTAAATTCTTATTAAAGTGACTAATTAATTTCTAAATTACAAATTGCAAAATTAATTAGTTACTAGTTTACTCTTGACAATTCTAAATAATTAAAATTGTCTAACACAAGATTTTGTTTTAATTTTTCTGGGATCAGGTCTTATATCAGGAGGGGATCGGGAGTGGTACCCGAAATTCACAAGAAACGACAGAGGACCCAAAAATCACCCGAACCCCGTACGTCTGTAACGGTCGCAATGGTATTATTGTTGAAACTTGCTCGAACATGAATAAACTCCCTTTGGCATTCTACGTGCGTAGAACCAACTCTTGAAGTACAGGCTTGGAAATATTTTATCATTTCGTAAAGGTAAGTGGGAGACTAAATGCAAATGTCAATCAGTTACCAAATCAATCTAATTAAAAAACCTTATAAACTTCCAAACTCTATTAATTTAAACAATCAACAGCAAAGGAATTGCAGATTTTCTAGTCACAGTGCTCGGGGGTTGATGTCACAAGTGAATTAACAATTTACCATATCAGCGGCACGTGCAGAGCATTGAATTGAATGGGTCTGGTCCGTCGTCAAAATCTCCATATGGAGTTGAATGGTTTGGCCTGTCGAACATGGCGGCCGGAGGAGAAACTATTCTCTGTGTTGAGCTTAAGATGAGGTTTGATTTCATATACAGCAGTTGCTTTATCAGACAAGAAAAGGAACTGTTGATTGGTCAACATTCAACTTTTCATATATAGTAATCGTGCCTATCTTTTTCTGTATAAAAAGTGAAGGAGACGAAATATTCAGTCCGTGCGAACGCAATTAGTGCCACACTTGAGGAACCAATTTAAAAAAAAAAACCATACGATGATTCTCTACCTTTTGAGTTCCGTGAGATAAACAAGTGGTTTTCTGAAGCTGCTGACCATGCCAACGCCATCCTTTATCCACTAAAAGAAAAATACCACCGGTCAATTCCATGCATATATATACAACTGAAACTATGAGATCCTTTGGAATAAAGTAGAGAGGAAAAAGAATTCCAGAAAATGAATTGGGAAATGAAGGGACTCGAGATTAGTAATTTCGTAGAACATTTAAGTTGTGTGTTAACTTTTTACCGAATTTCTACTCGAGTTTCTTTCTTTAATTTTCATATTTGACTTAATATGCATAACAATGACATAGTTTACTGTGTTTGAGCTACCATCACCCTATCTTAAGATTGGACTTTTATATTTTTCAAGGTATGAATAGAATTCCCACTACCAAAGAATTCAAAGTGGGTGATAATAGTGATTCGAAAACAATAAAGCATGTTCTAATTATGACCGCTGAATATTAAAAATTTGAACTAGTAATTAAAAGAGAAATGAACTAAATGTAATATCAGGTTACAAGTTTAATAGATCAAGCTAAAATCAGAAACGAGCAAGAAGGAAGGAAGTCCCACCTCCGGTAGGTCAAGTTTGGTTTTTCAGCTGTGGATCTTCCATATTTTTGCTGCTCCTGGATCAATTGGACCGGCAGGAAGTCCTCAAAAGTGCGCTAAACTGGGAGATGGATCTTGAGTATTTCCAAATGCAAATGAGAATTATGTAGGACCTCAGTATCTGAAATGAATCTGTTAAGGCATTGTCCAGACAGCTAAATTAAATTCAACATCACTTTAAGTGATCACACTTGTCAAATGCTGGACATGGATAAACAGTTCCTGCTTCAATATTAAGGCACAATTGTCATACATCAAAACAATGAGAACTTTCGGGCATACACATCAGTTGCTCAACCACAGATGCATTTGCATAATCAGAAAACGAAATTGCTCTTCGCCAACAATTCTTCAGCAGATGTTTTTTTTTTCTTTCTTTTTTTGAAATGCAAAGTGTAAAGAATATTATTAAATATAGGTATCAAGAAAGTGTCAACCTATGTACAAAAATTTTACATGTCTACCAAAATATTAATAAGTTTCCTAAATCCTTCATATAATAGAGAGGATGACCCAATAACAATAATTCAAGGGTCTGGACCTATATATTTCTAATTAAATCAAAACTATTCACATCATCAACCCCATCAAAAGTTTTTTTGTTCCTCTCCTTCCAAGCTGCCTAAAAGATGGTAAAGAGAATTAAGTCCGTCTGTTTCCTCTGTCCGCTAATGCCCTTGTATGCCCAAATTTCATCTCTCACCGATCCTGCCATCACCCAGTTAATGCCTAAAAGTTCATAAACTATAAAATCCAAAAGCTTGTACACCACCAAACACCAAAGTAATACGTGGTTACAAGTCTCTTTAATCCTTTTGCAAAGATAACAAACATTAACCACAATCTTGCTCCATCTCCTGCAGTTTGTTTATTGTCAAAATACACTCTCTGTCAGCCTCCCATGCAAAAAACAATACACTCGGTGGAACTCTAACCTTCCAAATTTGCTTGAACAGGAATCTAGTGCCATTACTTTCATACTTGAACAATTATTTATAAAAGGACTTGGTCATGAAACACCCGTTCTTTGTAAGACACTACCGAGGGTAGTCATTGCCTCCGGTCTAGACTCACAAAGGATAGGATGCTCAACAATTTCTCATATTTGCCAATCTCCCAATTATTGGGATTTCTCATAACAAAATCTTCTCATCCCTTCTCCCCTCACCCACTTTCATGAAAGAGTTAGAGATCTTAATGTCTTTCTGCTGGGCTATGGCGAATTCTTCAGCAAATGTTTCTCAACTGATTACCACAATTTGATCTCTTGCTCCAAAAATGAGTCTCGGCGCTCGTTCTATTTGCCAAACTGAAACAAGTAAACCAAGAAAAACCGTTTTAAAGTCACAACAATAAATCAAAGCTTGAAAATATATGGCGTAAATGTTGGAATTATTTGGACTCCTAATTACAATAATCAATTAAATATATCCACAAAAATGAGCATTGAGCTTTGTTCCATTTGCAAAACCAAAAACAGAAACAGCAAACCAAGTATTTAAGTCATTGACTTCCTACTCTCCAAAATACAGAGAGAACAGGATATGCAGAAAGTAAAGGAAAAAAAATGCAGCCACATAATTTAGGTAAAGACAAAAGAAAAGGAATTGCCTAAAGGAGAAGAAATGCAGTTTTGGAATTTAAAATAGAAAAATGAGAACAGGGAAGTAGGTGCGCAGAATCTACCAGAACACAAGATCTCTGACAAAGCAACAGAGTCACTTGTACACTTTAGTTAGAAGTGAGAGCTTGGATAGAAGATGAAGAGATACATAATTAACAAAAAAGATAACAAGAAATGATTTCTAGATACTGGAAGCAACCATCCTCTCTGGATAAATTTGATAATCTACAGAGGAAAGACATTTGGAAAATCAGCAATAACTTTAGTGGAAATCTAAAATGTGCAACATTAATTTAATTCACAGTTACCTATTCATTCCTATTATATCTCGCGTTTTTACTACATGTGAAGCTAATCTTTCCAGGTGTGCACCTGTAACAACTATGGTTACAAAACCATGTAAAGTCTATCATTACCTGTAAAGTCTGATATTGTTGAAGGAGTCTACTTTCCAGTGATGATTCAAGTCATCCTCATGAGTTTCACATGCGAGTCTAAAATTACTGTGAAGTCTGATATTCTTGAAAGAGTCTATATTCCAGTAATGATTCAAGTCATCCTCATGAGATTCCCATTGCTCAGAGTGGATGGATAAATCATCAACGTTCATTATAAGAGACACCGGTCTCTCAATTATAAACGGAGGTCTCCCCCATAGTGTTCACCAACAGATGCCTAGAAAATAATATTTGAGTTACAGAGAAAGAAGGCAGACCTCAAAAGATCAAATATAAGACACAGTTGCAATTCAACAATAGATTTATGCATATATCTGAAACAAAGGTGGTGATGCAGTAAGAAGCTAAAGTGCAACATTTTCAGCATTGAGAAACAGAGAAAATTATAAAGCCCTACCATAGTTCAACCACTATTCTGTGACAATCAATGTAACAATCCGGAATTAAAAAGGGGAATAAATTATAAATTGAATGCGAAAGCGAAATAATAGTATTACGATTTACAATCTTTACACAATAATTCAGAATACCCAATAAAGTTACGGGAATAATTTTTTTAAAAAAAAACAAATAATCAAATAAATAAATGGAAAGTAAACAACTGGACATCCTATTCGCAACCCTATTGTGGATCAAGATCTGATTCTTGATTCTCTTGATCTGAAATAGTTAATAAAAAAGTGAGGTACACTATCCCATTAAAAATATTATGCTACTCACCGATACAGAAATGAAAGTTGGTAAAAGTCATGAAAACAACTAATGGAGTTCTTAATTTAAATAAATTCATTTATCATAAATAAAATCATTTATTGTACACTTACCGTAGTTAAATTTTTAAAACTAACCTATAGAAGCAATAACACGACAATATCATAATCTCATATCTAATTAAGTAAGAATAACTAACTTTCGTTTTTTATCTGTCTACTGGTATCCGTGAGTATCCATAGGGATGTTCTCACTACGCATGAACCCTTATTCAACATTTTCAACTAACCAGCCGTTCCCATACCCCGTCCGGTTTGAGCGCCAAAAATATCATTTCTCAATATTTCGTCCGGTATGAGGGTGAAACAGGTCGTCCCCATACCCCGTCCGATATGAGCACCAAAATACCAATTCTCGATACTTCGTCCAGTATAAGGCAACGTTCACGGCAGGGTTCCCTATGCACCCGGTCCGTCCACCATCTATAAGGATATCCAATAAGGTTACCATTTATTCAATCACTTAATCAAACAATTTTCCGTTTATATTTAATTTTCAGTTTCACAATTTAACTATAAATTACGCAAAACAAGCAATACATGCATCAAAAAAGCACAATTGAATCATCATACCAACTCTAGTGTAATATTATACATTTGAAACAGTAAAATCAATCAAACAGGATCAACAGTGAATAATAATTGGTTCCGCTTTCATTAGTAACATGTGATTAATTATCGAGATTTTCTAAATTATACAAAATACTACATTATTTATAATTGAACTTCAATTCCATAACAAGGAATATGGTGAGAGATTTTTACCCAAATCGTTGTCCAAACGCTAAACTTTCAACTGCGCCCACTAGATCTGGACCGTCCACGCGCGCGGGAACAATTCTGGACCGTCCGATCGTGGGCACGTAGATTGCCAGTATGGCCTCTTGTGTGGCACCGCGTCAGCGTGTCTTGTCACGCAACATGCTCCGGTTCGTCGGGACTGCTGATTAGGCGGTCTTATGTGGTACATTTTTCTTAAATTGTGTTTTGACCTACAGTTTCCGATTTTTCTTTCAAAAACATCATCAGAATTCAAATTTTCACATCTTTTTCCCAAAATTGTTTTTAATTTCTTCCTCCACCTATTTTTCCTAATTTTTTACATTAAATAAAATTCATAAATAAAAAAATTATATTTTATACATTAATTTTAAATTTTTAAAATTAATTACGGATATTACAATCAATATCACCTTTTAAGTTTTTATGCAATGAAATTAGTTTCTTAGATTATTACAATGTAAGTTTTGGCTTCTTTTAATTTTTTTATTTATAGTTTTTAGCTTCTTCATATTCGTGTCTAGACATAAACACTGCCAGATATTCTCCAGCATAACCTTTTTCATCCTTGTGAGGCTGCTGACAAGCTGGAGTAGCCTCCGACAGTATGCGTCCACCCTGTCTTCCATGTGTCATGTTTCAAGAAGTTTCCATGGCACATAAATGATACAGCCTTCCTTACTGCTAGTTCACTTGGGGGAAATTGTTCCCATGCTGCAGGCAGTTGTTGCCTAGAGCTCCAAAATGGGCAGCAGCAGATGCTAGTTCATAGGGAAGGCCTTTCTCCGGCCAACTCTTCATGGGAAATGAGCAGCAACTACTTCCTTGCTGGTCAGGGAAAAGCACCTTCCAGAGGAGGATAGTGATATTATGTACACCATTGTGCAAGAAGAGAAATAAGAAGGCGGCAGGTTCACCAGGCTGTTATGCAACCATGGGACCGGCGGTAAGTGCAAAGAGCCCGAGGCAGTAGCACCAAGTTCAGTCTGATTTCCTGGTTAAGTTTTATGCTTAATTTGGTTGTAATTGCTAAAATTGCTCTGATTATTACCAAGTTTGTTACATCCTTTCGTCCTAGGTCTCAAAGAAAAAACAGTAGCTACCCCTATGATTGTCTATTTTAATCTTTGAATAAAGCATCCAAACATTTTTACTAAAAATTACAAATTTGTTAGAGATTGTAGGTTTTTCATGAGAGCCCTAAACCACATAGGCCAAAATTCCAGCAAGCAAGCTGCAAGCTTGCTGCATGAATTCAGCTTGCACAGGCCCGTAATGAGATTCCAACCCTCTCTGACCAAGTGGAAGAATAACCTGTTTCAGATGCAACCCAGCAGTTCTCCAACCATTTCAGCATTCAGTTTGTAATGTTCTTCCTCAAGGAAAAAGGAGAATAAGAAGGGGGCCCTTGGTTAAAAAAGTGATATTCATGGGAGTTAAGTGTGAATATGGTTACCAACAATAGAACAGAATAACCAATTTGTGTAATGACCCCACTATGAGTACTAAGCAAAGAGATAAATGCTCTTTTATATCTAATATGTTAATAACATTTA